TTGTCGATAAAGATATGGATACTTTACCAAGAAAACTTAAGCATGATGGATCATGGAAAGAACCAGATGAGAAGCTTACAGAGGTTGCATCAGGAATTTTGCATACTCTTAATGATGCATGGAACAATCCTGCATTCAGTCCTGAGTTTGCAAAATTGCAAAGCGAAGGTACTTACGTGACCAATATAGTAGTACCTGCCATTCGGGCTTCATTAAAGGATCTTCCTTTTGGAAAATCTACCTTTGTCAGCACGTGAGTAATTAAAATTAAAAAATGTCATCATTACAAACTTTTTTAATTTTTTTAAATCTTTTTTTAGTGCAGAACTTCAAAGTTCTGCCAGTGCAGATAGACGAGGTGAAGGACGAGGAAGACGGCCCGATATTATGTTTGTGGTAAATTGTGGGGAGAAAAATTATGAGCTCATGTATTCCGAATGCTCGCGTCTGTTTTGCACGTTACAGAAAGATAAAGACGATGAAATAAAGCTATGGCGTGAAGCTAACGACGGAATGTACTGGGCTCACAAATCAACTAAGCCTGATCAAGATGAATTTGGAATCATCGCGATCCAAGTAGCAGGATCAATAATTCGATTAAACGTTCTTATTAGGGATGTGATTAGCGTGCACCGCTATTACCATCTCTATGAAGCAAAGATTCCCGTGCAACATTCAGATTCATTTATTGTAGAAAATTTTGTCAAGATTTCACTAATCTTACGAAACATTATAATTATTAACATGTCTTTACTATTTCATGCACCACCAGCTAGGTCGAAAAGAAACAGAAGTAGTTCAACAGTGGATTCTGACGTAGAATAGAAAGATATTCCTGTAGCAATAAGGATTACATGTATCAAAAATGAGTTTATTTACTAATTGTTCTTTACATATTCAGAATGAGAAATAAAGATTAAATTTATAACTGTCATAATCTGTCTGTATTTTATATAATAAAACCGGCTTCGGTGGCTGATTTCGCATACATAATCGCGTTTACTTTTGCGTGTATATTTCGGGAATTTATTTTGTTGTATTGATATCGATGTATATTAACCCGCATATAATAGAGGGTTTTTTCACGCAGACATTAGTCCGCAGACAATAGTATAAACGTCATGTATCACGGGCTAGGTCCCGAACATTTGTACGTATTTATTTTTCGCATGTATTAATAAAATTTTTCTTGGCAAAAGTGTTCGGCGTTACGAAAAGTAACGCGCACGTGATTTTATTAATTTGAAATTTGAATATACCCGTATTTTATAAAAATAATGGAAAATATTCACACCATTGATTCATTGAGAGAATTAAATGCTAAACTCTTAGCTGAGATTGCCGAGCTTAGAAAGAAGAACGATAAGATTCCTGTACTTGAAAAGAAATTTGCTGAGGTTGAGGCTGAGAATGCGAAGTTGAAACAGATTATTGAGGAGAATACGATGCACGATGCCAGAGTCAAGGAACTAGAACAAAAGAATACAGAGCTTGAAGCTAGACTTGCGATAGTGGAACAGGCTTCCTTGGTTGTGGATGGTCAAACACAGAATGGTAAGGAAGCGATACCAGAGGTGCGGTTATCTATAGATAATTCGGTATCAGTTGTTGATTTATCCAACTCTGTAGTGGACCAACAAAATAATGCCGACACCAAGTCAATGGAAGGGGTACCAAAGGTATCAGATAAGGAAATAGATGATTTTATTCCTGAAGAACTGATACCAAAAGTAACACCTTGTTCATTTACCTCAGCCTTGTCAAAGATATTCAAAATCATTGGAAGAAAAGGAGATGGATGCTTTCCTGGATTCGGAAAACAAGAAAATGGTTAGTAATCTGATGAGAGATATGAATAGGAAAAAGAAACCTCGATCTCAAGAGCCTCCGGCAACGCCTCCAACATCTTCTGAAGAGGAAAGCTCAACGTTCGAAGCATCAAATGTTCACAATTCACCCAGGATAGAGAAAGATAAACAGAATGAAATGAGTGTGGAGCACTCAGCGAATGTTGTTTCTGACAATAGCAATGAAAGAACAAAAATTCCATACAATCAGAAAGTGGAGCAAGGTTTGAGGAAAATGGGAATCAGCTCCCTTATGATCCCGAATTAGCGAAGTTGTATTCCCAAGATAAGTTGGAATATTGTCTTACCTGCAACACTTCAAGTAATAAATTCAAGTTCACAATAGTAGCATAATTCATAAATCCTATCATTATTATATATTATATTTATTTTTTTTATCGCTCATTAATAAAGTACCAAAGTCAGTTAGAAGCATGACGTGCTATGAATGGTCTTTATTTCATAAAATCGCGTAAAAATAAAAAATTGGGAGCCCAGCGGACCCCCTCTCTTTATTATTATAAAAAATATATTGCCGGGACGACAACATAATATACAAATAAAAAAAATCTAAATAATTTGTGTTTCTGATCCTGGTAATTGTTCTACAAGTACATGAATAATATTTTGATCAGGATTATTACTGAAAAGAGTATAAAGATTAGTATGGGGATGCATATTTACGTATCCCCCTTGGGGGCGAAATATAAGAAACCGGCGAGGTGTATTAGCTGCACCAGGTGGTAATAGGGACAAACGGGCTTGAACTTGAGTTTCTAATGTTTCAACAGTATTTCCTTTAAAAAGTTTGATTTTAAAAAAATGATGCGGTACGCAGAATGTAATAAGACAGTTAAGATAAATATATCCATTAGTCTTAGGGTTGGGTTCGTTAGTCTTGGTGGTGGTGGTATCGTTAGTTTTGGTGGTAGTGATATCGTCAGCACTGCTCATTTTTCGTTCCTAAATACAAAAATCATAGTAAGTAAAAATTCGTTTTCATAGTCCCGTTAAAACGAAATAGCAAATTACTTTAAAAACAAATTACGGGCGAGTAAATCAAGTAAAAAATATATATGAGCAAAAATATAGTTATTGCTAACTTATCTTGTGGGTGGGAACTTGCTTATTTATACTTCACATTCGTTACCCTGCCAGAAGGAAAAATCCATTAGTAATTACGCTAACCAAATCTAACGCCAGTTTTTTCCCATAAAGCAACTCCGCTCGGTCATAAGTTCCAAACACATCTATTTTGTTATTTTTCTGGTAAAATTAACCCCCTTAGATTCGACGATCGCAACCGGAAAAGTTAAGAAGGCTAGATCTTGACGATCTCGGAGATGGCGGAGATTCCAAGTTCCTGCGACATATGAATTTGGATAAAACTACTGATTAAGAGCGTTATACTCATTACCCTTATAGCTTTTTTAAGTCTCATTCTTATCGCGGGATCATATAAAGTAAGGAAAGGGGTCTAGACATTATTCACATTATTAGCATTATTCGTAATATTCGTTAATAAAATAAATCGACCGTGAGAATTAATTCTGCAGGAGAGTGATACAAGCCATAACCTAATTTCATATGGCTTGTAATACCGTTCGCAAAATTGTCCCGACGCTACGTAGCGATAGTAATAAAAAATAATTTACCATCCATAACTCATATAAACCCGAATATCGAGTGATCGCTATTTTAGCCTCAACTTAGACCAAAATAAAAAACGGTCCCGCGGTAATAAATACTTATTTTTTCCAGCACATAAAAATTAAATTAGCACTACGTGGTCGTGTTAAAATAGCGCATATATTTGTTTATGGGCATCGGTATGCCCTATTTTTCGAATATCCACAGATCTTATTCTGAGAACATCGAAATAGCGAATGTACGAATATTTATGGCTAGTCTACTAACCGCCCCTTGAAAACAAACATATTTACAACCAACACCAAATATAGCGGGCCACATAACAATAGCATTTCCAATTGATGTACAATGTTGTGCGCCCGCCTTACGTCTAGAAAAGTGTAGGCTTCTGCCAATATTTTATATAATAATTACGCAGAAGCCTACACTTTTTGATATATATCTCGATGTCTTTCTTTTACGATTATTAAAGCCGGTCAAGTTTTTGTGGTCCCGCGGGACTGTTAAGTCATATGATAGTATGACTATACTTTATTTTCCCAGCACGGATCTGAAAACACCGACGAATCATTATACCAAATATAGCGATTTCGTGTTAAATTTCTGTAGCGCCAAATATATATCGATATGCAGTGTAGATATAGCCACATGCAGTACATATAAAATAGATTTTTTAGCACCTTTCGCACTAGCTCCGCTAATATTCTGCCCAATTTTTCTTTTTTCCCGTTAGATTGCTTTTGCGTTGATAAGATGACTTCTATAGCTACTTGACACGAGTTTGCTTCGGCGAGTTGTGTGATTGAACATGCGCACAATCTTCTTGCTTCAACAGAGCAGAGGGCTCAGTGCTTTGGCGATGGCAGTTTGTTTGTTCCGCAAAAATATGCAATCTAGCTGTCTTTTAATAATATAGTCTTCTTAGGGATAGTCAAGCAAAAAAATTTCGTTTCTATCGTTGAAGCAATAGGGCCTCTGACTATGTGTATTATGTTTAGAGAAATAATATGGCACAGGGACTCGCATTAAATGGTTTAGGATCCGTGTACTCCCTCCCTTGAGAGCATGTCGTATATTTCATTTATTTTTTCTTTCTACATTTATAAAAACACTATCGCAGAGGGCGCAATCATCAGATTATAATTGTCTATGTAGCAAGGAAGACCCGATGAGCTTTCCGCGGTTTAGTCCACTGAGCTACGGGATGAGAAATAGTTTGAATGTATCCACCTTGAAATTTTTATTAATATACACTTCATAGATTTTTATTTCACATTGGCGCCTTTTCGGAGTACACATCGCATGCAAACTACTATCAGTTATAGATATGTCAAAGGTAATCAATTTCTGCATCTCTGAGCTTGCGAAAAAAAAAGTATTATGAATTAGCTGAGGCATTTTTTTCCTTCTGCTTCTGTCTCATTTCTATTTCCTTCTGCAAGTTCAATGGAGTGTCAAACCTTAACCGAATTGCAAGAGGATCGTTCTCTGACCTAGTGAGATCAAATACAACAAACTCACCTTTACGGAGGTAGCTATTAATAACCACGGATGCGCCCTTTACATCATCAGTATATCGTCCAACAATCTTGGAAACATCCTGAGCACTACTGCCCCATTAAACTGCACTAAGAGCATTGAGTTCTCACGAATAATCATTGGTATATGATGGTACTTCTGAGTAGAATAGCAAGGAGAAATATTCCGATGTCATCCATGTGTAAAAAATGGTATAATTTGATTTTGAATGGACTCGGGAGCAATACATACATCCTCAAAAATGATTACAGTGTTCTTTTCGGGTGAAAATGATTTCACACTAGGAATTTGTTCTGGTGATATATAGCTAAATCTAATGTTCTCATAATAGGGCGCTTTGGGATTACTTGCTATTATTCCATACATGTATCTAACGAATGCCCATTTTGGCTCATCGGGATGGTAACCACAAACTATCAAATCATCACACCTAATATATCTGGATCCACCCTTTTGTCTTTTATATATGTGCTCACATTTATCCCCGAGAATAAGGTTTGCCAGTAAATTGATCTTACCCGTACCACTCCTTCCAGTGACTAACATACTGAAAGGCCATGTCATCGCTGGATGTCCAACATTTCGGGATGATTCATGCTTTGTGGTCTCATCCATATCCATAAGGTATAGTTTCATAGGGGGAAGGTGGTCTCCTTGGGACCTCTCGAGTAGTTCTGTTTTTTGGTTTTTCTGCATGGTAGATTGAAAATTCATATCTCTGATTTCTATTAAAAGGTGTTATATATTTTGAAAAAATTTTCTCTTCATTAATAAATGGAATAAAAGAATATAGATGGGAGAAGATAGACCACAAGAAATATATGATTAATAATAGTATTATAAGAAAGATTGCAAGCTCAAAAAAAGTTTCAGGGCTAGTATTATCATTACCTTTCTCCTGTTCACTAATATCTGATTCCTCTAAGACCCCTCCAGCCACTTCAGACTCGCTAGATGTTTTTGGGATCTGCTTGGCTAAACAAGCATTATTTAGGACTGCTTCTTGAAGGAGGGCGTCTTTCTCTATTAATGCCTTTTGTGCTGTAACTAAATTATCTTTTATCTGCGCCAATTCATCCTTTTTTTCGATTAGTATATCTTCTAAATCTCTTTTCTCTAAATCTAGGTCAATATTTTCAGTAGATAGTTCTGCATTTCTTAGTTCCCATTTACGCTTAAGAAATTCCATTTCTGATAACTCCTCCTGTGCTAAAGAAACATCCTGCTCTAATTCCTTTGCCCTAGATTGGAGAGCCTGTATCTCTTCCTTCATCTTGGATTGGAGGGCTTGCATCTCTTCTGATTTTATAGAGAATTTGCTTTTGGCATCTGCAAGAGAAATATCCTTGTGAGTAATCTGAAGCTTAAGGTCATTTATTTCTGAAAGCAATTGTCTTATCTCATCCCCAAGCTTAGGATCATTTATTTCTGATTGCAACCGTATTGTTTCTTCTCCAAGTTGGCAAACATGATAAGAGAGCTTCTTATTATTTTCTTCAAGCTGATTTATACGGTTTGTAAGCTTCTCATTATCTTTTTTGGTTCGGTCTAGATCATCCTGCTTGCGCTTATTTTCTTTATCCAATACGTCACATCTAACCCCAAGTTGGTTCCCACAATCTATAGCAACTTTACGATCTTTTATTGCACGAGAAAGCATATTTTCAAGCTCCACTCGACTAGGCAGGTATCGATTAATTGGAGAGTCTCCAAGTTTATTACCATCGTCCAAATCTTTTAAGGTATGGACCCGTGACATTTACTTGACATTTTTTATCTTAGATGAAAAAATTATAGGAGTTTTTTTTTTTCTGGCTGGTCCTGAAGGGACCACTTCGAATTTATAAGAGTCAGATTAATAAAGCGCATTGAAGCTCTTTGAAACGCTTTGATACGCATTGGTCTTAAGTATTGAAGCGCACCAAAATGCATTGAAATACATTGAAGTTTATTGGTATGCATTAGAACGCATTGATACGTATTGCTTCTTTTAAGTATTAGAACGTATTGAAGCGTATTGAAAAAATATTGATCTTTTATTTTTATATATATACATTTTGACTAATATGGCTAACCATATCCATAAAAAATTTTATTGATCAAATGCAACCCGATTATCAGAGTCTGATATTAAGGAGATTAGAGAATCGAGAGGTGTAACACCAAATGCATCGCATCGAATGGCTGAAAAATTCCATATTGGCGCTCGTCATGTTTATGAGATATGGAATAATAATGATCGCCTTCAGCAAGGTTGTATTCCTTAGCCTGTTTTGGATGATAATGATGACACCTCTGGTCTTGACAGCTCATCCATTGCTATTACAGATGAAGTTGAACAGAATCATAAAGCAGTGCTAGAGACACCAGCCATGCTTTCTCTAGCGCCGACTTCGATAGAACAAGGGGGGCATGTGTCAGAAAAAAATGAGAATAAAGGTGAAGCCGAAGATGATACAGTTTCTTATTCCGATCCTTTGTCTGATCTTAAAAAATTAATAGAAGGTACCGATTTAAAAAATTTATTAGAAGATACTGAAAGATTGGATCCTATGCATCCTTTCTTACCTCTGTAAGTAAAGAACATCTATTAGCATAAATCTTTCCTGCCTGC